CCTGACAATGAAAATCAAATGAGTTAGTGAATGTTCCCCAGATGAGGTCCTTGTTACGGAAGGAAGAATAAATACTAAAGAATATTGCCTCACTGAAGGAAAAAAGTTAGTTTGGGTGACTGTGTTTAGTCTTTCTCTTCTTTAACTCCCCTGACCCCTTCAAATAGGGTCTGAACTCACATTTCTAAAATCTTCTCTGCTTTTCCCTTCTTTCAGTCAGGTCAACATCCTTGACAGGCTCATAAGCATACACTATCCGTATGTACTGCCACACTTCTTTCTGGCAAAGCGTCTTTGGGTTGAAAAAAATGTAAGTAGTAAATGTAGTTAAATAATATATTTATAACCAAGAGGTAAAAGTGCACATAGTTAATCTAAGCCTTAAGAGATCCAAGTTCTGCATAATTATAGGAAACTTTAACAGATAACTAACACTGTGGAGTGGGGAATGTAATTATTTAAGATAATGCTTTTTGAAAACTAATTTCTACATGAGTAATTTTGGATAAGTAATTTCTTCCTTTCTGTTTTAGTTTTCTACTCTTAGAAGCTAAGCTACTAATAGGATTAACTGGCAAGTGCTATCATGAATTATTTAATATTCAAAAAATACTAGAGTCTTCTAGGATTATAATGATATAGAGATGCTGGAAAAACTATTTCATGTCAGAGCTACATTTAGCTAAGAAATTTTCAGCCTGAGAGAGAATACACAGATTTGTTTCCTGGACAATGGGTCGAAATATTTGTTGCCATTTCAGGCATGACTGAACGATGGCCCATTTCAGGACTTTTCAGACGTCAGCAGTAAGGGCTACTTTCCACAACAGCACTCTGACTGCAGGAGATAAAAGACTGTTTATTCTTTTTTCACAGGGGAGGAAAACAATGACAAAAGCAGGAAGGCAGCAGTAATGCAGAAATCTGGAGGTGATGATAAAGGGTATGGAGAATGGAGAAAGTTGTTCAGATAAATCCGTTCTGGCCAAAATCAGGCAGGTGACAACCAAATTTGTGTGACATTCAACTGAAGTGCGAATCACCATTTTTCAATTCAGTAATTAAAGAAAATTTTAAATTTCATTGGGTGTGACAAAAAGTGATTTGAAATACAGAACACAAGCACTGAAGTATTTTAAACCTTTAGAACCCAACTTTGCATTGTTTTCCCCGAGTGCACTGTACAGCCCTTAAAAACAAGAAAGGACACTGCATCTGTTCAAAAGCATCGCTGCTGCACCCTGAAGTACACTGAATTGATCCTGACATGTTACTGCTTCACTCTTGACATCTTGCGAGCAGTCAGAGCTAGCCAAATAGCAAGCAAATAACCCCTAGCTTGGAGAAAATTTCAATTAGCAGCAAATGGTAAAAAATAGCACCTGAGAACAAGGCAGATCTTAAAATGAGAATTGCTTAATACAGTGAATGAAGGTATGGATTTAAACATTAACTGTATGAGGAATAATTTAGTTGCACAAGCAACTAAAGAGAATTTTAACAACTTTTCTCTTTGAAAAAACTGGTTTTGTTGCCCAGCTGATTTAATTTATAAAACTCCCAACGTTTTAGAAGGGGCTGAAATAGCAGTGAGCATGAACACAGACACACTGCCCCCTGCAGCCAGGTCTCTGTTAGAGTATCTCGCATCTTGAGTAATGTAACAGTATAACCCAAACAGATCCATTTCCCAGGAAGTTTAATTAAGCAGAATACAGCTAAACAAATTGCCATTTATTTGTGGATCAAGCCCCCACCACTTGGTGTCACGTTGTGTACTATTTCATTACTAAGGCAAATACAGCAAGAGTTAATCTCTCCCTCCAAACCCTCCTATTTATCATTATCACTTTGTTGGTGAACAGATCTCTTCTGTCACTCTCAGCTGCTCCAATTTTCACACCGTTGCTGAGTCCTCCTCTTTGTCATTTTAATAAATCTTTAAAACATAGGTCAGTGAAAACCCTAGAGACAGCAGCACAATTAATAACAGTTTGTTTCTTTAGAAAATTGTAATTTTAGACAAATATAGTCTTTTAACAGATCATACCAGCCAATAAAAGGTGACTGCATTCAGATAATACACTAGACTTCTGCAAAGAGCATGTCTTCATGATCACACAAACAGCATATGGAGTCTGCACATGAGACAAATGCAAGAGTCTTTATGCAGAAACTCCAGTGCACAAGACATGCCGCAACTCACAGGAGGAAGCACATCAGTTCTCAAGCCACAAGACTAAACTTTCTAGTCTTTCTTCACACATTTCTTCAGCAGTTTAGATTAATATGGTTGTTTCTGTGTAGAAACAGTAGAAAGTATTCAGGAATAAGTACTCAAAGGCAGTTACTGCCAAGAAGTTGTACTGAAAAATAGTAAAGCGTCAAAGTTTAATTTTTCATCCTTCTTACCAGAGTGACATATCATCATTAAAAGGATGGATTATAAAAGGAGAAATCTTGTCTATTCCCAATAAGCCACTCTTGTTCATACAAATATAAACAAACATTTTATTTAGTTTTTGTTCTTCTCTGGACAATTACAAATAATGTCTCGAATCAAAGAGCCAGATTTCTAAACCACTAGCATCAGGAAATTCTACTAAGTGCCAGATGTCGCTCATTCTAAAATTGTCATTAAACAAAAAAAAAAATCCTTCAAAACTGATTTCAGGTTCAACTATTTCAAGTAATTTTACTCGGAGATGCAGGGCTGGTTATGTATGCTACATGCTAGAACTTGTGCCATCCTTAAATCTTATTTTCATTTTGTTGCATTTTATACATAAAGTTATTGTGATCTATACTTGGTATTTGCCCAAAAGAAGAAATTCATCAAAGCTTATTAAATAAATCTAAGCTCTAAGGTAACTGTTATGTTGAAACAGTAGCATTTTATATGGCTTCCTAAGCATTGCTAGAAAGCTGTATCAAATAATTTTAAGATATTTTTTCAAATAACTTTGGCTCATAAACTGATTGTCAGCTTAGAATCATGAATACAAATATTACAAGTTAATGTTTCAGCTGCTGTTATAGAGGCTGGTACCTCCACAGTGCTGTTGCTATAGCTCCCCTACCACATATCTCTTTATAATAAATAGGTAAATATACACAAACTATTGAGATGTACAGATATTCATCTATACACACAGGCAAGAATAAACAGTGCAAACTTCCTCCTCAAAATACTTTTTGCAATAGTCAAAAGATCAAGAAGGATACAGAAGCTTGTACTTTTTCCCCACATGGAATTGCACAGACAAGTACTTCTATAGCATACATCTTTAATATTTGTATTTAAGCAGCATAAATCTCTCAGCATCTATTCAAAACAACATCTTAGTACAGAAAAGTTCTAGAGTAATAGAGAAAGCTTTTAAACAAAATCTTAAATTATAAGAATGCTTGAAAAGGACTGGTGAATCCAAGGAAATGAACAGTTATCATCCTCCGGCTTGCACTCAAACTGAAAAGCTCTTAAGAAGGGAACCCAGATTGGAAGCACAGTATTTTTCACCTCACGTGCCTCTTAAGGCAGCTAATTTCTCAGTCATTCTGAGGAGCATTGTGTCTTTACAGACTATTTATTCAAAGGTGGATTCAGAGGAGGGGCAAAAGTATACCCAGAAAAAACACAAGCTTCCGTTTTCACTGAGCTGCGCTGCTTTAGGTCGACTGCCTGCTTCCTCAGAAAAAGGAACCTTTTGGCATTTGCCAGTAGGCTCAAATATCTAGAAATGCTGAAAAGGTGAAACAAAAAACTTTCTCTGTGCTGCCTTCCTACCTGATCTTTTGTCTCATATGTTCCCCTCAGGGATGCACGAGAAATTTCTCTGAATAATTCATAAGCACCTAGGCAGAAAACAGCTTCTACTTTGGAACAGAAAGATTGGGTAAGAAGCTGATTGCAGCTGTTCTACTCTGCTCTATCTGGAAGAAAACGGGATTTTTAAAAAAAGTAATTTTCATAACATAGTAAGCACAGAATATATAGATGTATTATCTAAGCAAACATGCATTTATGCTGGGGAAGGCAACTTTGTACTTGAAGCTACATGTTCCTTTGAGGGCAAGACTGAGTCTCTACCTGTCAAAAATCCCAAGAAATCACGCAGCATGAAGGTAATCAATCAACATGTAGAATTCAACTTTTAGCTTGGAATTAGATAGCAGATGACTGGTCTTTCCTCTAGACTACAGTATCCAGCTCTTCTCTTACCATAAGCCACCTTTATTTGCCAACAGCACTGCATATTAGGCAGATGCAAATGACTTCTTTTGCTACAGTCTCTGTTAGGGCTGTATCCCAGTTTTGGCTGGGGTAGAGTTAATTTTCTTCCTAGCAGCTGGCACAGTGCTGTGTTTTGGATTTAGGATGAGAAGAATGTTGATAACACACTGATGTTTTAGTTGTTGCTAAGCAGTGCTTACACCAGTCAAGGACTTTTCAGCTTCCCCTGCTCTGCCAGGTGCACAAGAAGCTGGGAGGGGGCACAGCCAGGACAGCTGCCCCCAACTGCCCAAAGAGGTATATTCCATACCATATGACATCATGCTCAGTGTATAAACTGGGGGAAGTTGGCCAGGGGGCAGTGACCGCTGCTTAGGGACAGGCTGGGCATCGGTCTTCAGCTGGTGAGCAAAGGCATTGTGCGTCACTTGTTTTGTGTATCCTTTTATCATTATTATTATTATTATTCTTTCCCTCTGCTGTTTTATTAAACTGTCTTTATCTCAACCCATGTGTTTTACTTTTTTTCTTGATTCCCTCAGATCCCTGTGTGATGCTCAGTTGCCAACTGGAGTTAAACCACGCCAGACTGAAATACTCTTATTGCCTGCAGCCCCTTTTTATGTCCCAACACACACAGAAGAGAGAATAAAAGGCCAGAGGAGGCTGTTTCTAAAGCTATTTTGCTAATAAGAACATAGATTCAAAACTCATAAGCTATGGGTTACCCACATCAAGTACTTATTAATGTGGACTGAAGACTTACCAGCCTCTGCATGCTTTTCACATGGGTAGGACTAATAGATAAGGCCTCTTCATACCAGCGTTTGGCTTCATCAATATTTCCACGAAGTTCAGCCACCTGACCTCTCATGTAGAGAACATAGTGCGACATCGGAAAGAGATTAGCTGCTTCCTGGGTACACGCTGTGGCCTCTGCAGGCTTCCCAATCCCTATGTAGACTTCAGCTGTGGAAGGAATGTGAGGACCAATGAGTGATTCTTGCTTCATCATACCATGACGAGATGTTGTCACATGTGCTGTACTTGCAAATTGTTTCATTCTAACCAAAGGCTGTTTTCCTCAAAAAAATTCCCAGCTTAAGAGAAATTATTACAAAAACTATTCTAAACAACTTATTCTTTTAGGAAAGTTGCTTTTCTAAATGCAATAGGAGTTTGAGCCTCTAAATGGCTATTTTAAACAGCAAGAAACTCTTTATAGTTTGTTATTTTTAACTGAAGTCTCGGATTTTTTCATTTTAGTTTTATTTTTAAGATGTGAGCATGCCAGAATTCCAGTACTATTTAAGAACAGAAAACCCAACACAAAACAGCACCCAGAGATCCTTACAGTAGGTAAGAGAATACAATTAATTACTGGGTTTCTGAATTTTACATGTCAGCCGTTAAGGAAGCAGTAGCAATTGCTCCAGCTACCAATCACTAAATGGCAAACCTAGTGCTAAGTTTCCCACTTCAGAGCATTTTAAAAGAAATATAATGTTATTTGATATGAAAAGTTTCCTAGTTAAGTTAGCAGAACATGTGAAATGCTCAATCAGCATTCCAATTTGAGAAAATTTGTTCATATTTTCAAGCATTTTATCTAAGATGTCCTCCAGAAGCTAAGAACATTTAACTCTGTAGCTTAAAATAAAAAAAAGCAGCTATATTTAATTTAACATAAATCACTCCTGATGAAAGCAGCTGAATAGCCCGACACATACTTGTCTAAATCAGATTTACTGAATGAACCTTTTTTCCCTTAGAGTCAATGATTAACAACTAACAATAGAAGAAGTATTTGCCTTCAAATAGCTCTTATGGCACTCTTCAACGCTGCAATTTCACTACCCTGCTGGATTATCTTGATCTCTTGCTAAAAGAGTGGGAGAGGAGAGGAAAAAGAGATACTAAATGCAAGAAAAAGACATTAAAGTTTTTGGGTTGGGTTACCTATTTCCTTTACGTTGATATAGACCCTAGAAAAATTGAACCTCAAAGTAATTGTATAACTGCATTCTGTTCTACCACATTATACAAGTCTTCCAGAATAAGGTTTAATTCAAAATGCTCCATCAAAACAGCAAAGTCATCTATCACCATTCAAGACATGCTTCTCACTGAGCAGTACAGGCCACCCAGCATCGGTCAGCCAGTAGTGAGCAAATGCATCACTTGTGGTTTTTTTCCCGGATTTTGTTTCTCTCTCTCTCTCTCATTGTTTTCCTTTTCATTACAATTTTTAAATTATTATCATTATTACTTTATTTCAATTATTAAACTGTTCTTATCTCAACCCATGAGTTTTCTTACTTTTGCTCTTCTGATTCTCTCCCCCATCCTACCGGGGAGAGGAGGGTGAGTGAGTGGCCATGTGGTGCTTGGTTGCCAGCTGCAGCTAAACCACAACAAATTGTTAGCAAATCATGTGCAGAAACTAAAAATTACTTAAGTAGGTGATTATCTGCTACCGCGATAATTCTAGACTGAAAAATAAGCAGCGATTGGACAATTTGACTGCAGGTGAAATTCTGTATTCCTTGAGGGGAAACAAGTATAGTAGAAATGGCTTTTAACACTAACCAACAGAGGCTGCAATATTGCTTATAAAATAGTCTTAACGTTACTGTAAGAGATACTAAATCTTGCTGTCCTGCTTACTAACTGCAGCAGAGAAACTCGACAGTTATTAACAGACCTTCCTAGAAGGATTTAATCTAAACAAAATAATTACGTTATGTTTAAAGTTTTTATAGAGTTATTTTAAAAATACATTCTCCTTTCCTCTACCAGACATTATGCCACCCCAACAGAAAATACAGTGGACTTTTTGAAAAACTATTAAAGAACGAATAGAAAGTTGAACTTGTGGCTAGGTGTTAAGCATCAAAGTTCATTCAAGAAATTTCTGAAGCTGAAGGAGAGCTGTTCATTCTGAGATAATGACATCAAACTGAATAAAAATGTTAAAAAGCAAGACGGTAAATTCAAATAAATGAGTTGTGGAAGACTGACATGTGCCAGCAGACTTTATAGGAGCAGCAGTTTGAAGAGAAACCAGGTGCCAAGTTTGATGTGCTTGTCTCTATGTCTCCACCTTGAGAATGCCAAGAATGCCTTCTGGCTCAAACCCTTCCAACGCTTACACTTGCATTTTATTGACAAATCAATCTTTTTTGCAGTCAATCTGCATAGCAATATTGAGTTCGGCTTTAATGCATTTCTCAAATGACCATCACAGCCATTGATCATTTAGGGACAGGTCTGGTTTTTATTTGTGAGTTACTGCAGAATGTACTAATTGCAAAAGTAATTTTGTTTCATGTTTAAAATAAGCCTTATTTTCCACCTTTACACTGTATGCCCAGAAGTGAAAGGCTGAAGCAGTCCATTAATAAACACATGTTACTGTGTGCAAAATCAACTTCTTCGGACTGCATGCCATGCTCATTTACGCTAATGACAGCTGGAATGGCACTGTATATCCTTTAGAACAAGCATTTTGTCCCTTTTTCACATCATATATATTAGTTTGGGTAAATGTATTCCACTAAGTTTTGCATGTATTAGAACTTATTTACATAACTGTTCCATGTCTCTGTAACCTAGCAGGAAGAATAAGTCTCAATTTTTGTATTTTAAGACTTAAAGCTTATTAAAGATTTCACACACACACACACTTAGTAAAACACACACTGCACAACCATACAGGGAGTCAAACAGTTAAACCTGGCATTAATCTCAAAAAGGAAACGATTTCCCAATGGTAAATCTTCGCTTTTGTTTAAAGAAAATGAGCTGTAAGGCATTAAGTAATTTTATCGCTGTTTTCTATGCAAGTAACCCATATATACTGATGAAGATACCTTCCAGAATATCTGCTTTCTATTGTGCTTCTGGGAGAAAAGTTTATTCTGAAAGTCACAGTAAAGAGCCTTTCTCAAGGATCAGGATGTTTCCTGTAGCAGGACAAGTAGCCGAATAGCAGGATACCTAAACACTCTGAAACACAGCACAAATCACCAGCCTGAAGTATCAAGAACAGGATCATTCCAAAGTGGAGAGGAAGTAGACTTCAGGTTGCAGTACCTTCTCTGAAGGCAGACAGAAGCTCTCTTTCATCCCCCCCTTTTTTTTTTTTTTTTCATTGCTCCCCATACGTGAAGAGTCAGAGCACTCTTTGTACTTTGGTGTGTCCTTCCTCTGGATTTTTAACACTTTAGTTCATTCACCAACCCAACTCTTTCCTACTTCCCACCTATGCTTCCTTCTGCTGGGAATCAAGAATATGGCCTACAGACCATGCTTGCTGAGATAGGTATTTTTAAGAGTGGAAAGTGCAGCGCATTGCAGCAGCAGACCACCAACGTGTATGCAAACCTAAGTTGTGAACTAAAAAGGAATCAGCAAAGAGTGTCCAGATTCCTCCATTGTGGGCAAAACAGTAGCAGTCACTTGCATGGACTGGATAAGCAGCAACACGACATAACCAACAAAATTAAACAACAGAAAATAAGCAGTGGAACAAGCTGTCATAGAATGTTGAGGAATGATCAGCTATAGATGCTAAGAGCTACTGTAGATGGTCACCTGTGATGGTTTATAAATATTTAAAATCAATGATGCCATGATGCAACGCCTACACTATGCCCTGGTGGACCTTGCCTTGTTCTAATCTGTGTTGCTTTTGAGGAGCCCTCCCACCCCTAACTAAGATCACTATTATTAATCACTATCACTGCTCTTTCTTTCCAATCTTCAGGGCTGTTTGTCTAAAACACTATTAATAATTGGGAGCTGCCCTGTAATGATTTTGGCACAATAAAACTGTTAATACAAAATAGGTAACTTAAAATGCTAAGAAATACAGCACTGTTTTATTGAAGGTAAACATGAAGAAAAAAAGTAATTATGTCACTGAGAGATGCTCAAGTCTGAGAGCAGACCAAAGCAGAACAATTGCTGACTGATTTCTAAATTACACCTTTCTGATGCAAGTATCAATAAAAACAATTGCAAGGTACACATTTTTAACTGTGTAAAAATATATTGGATCATCATTTTCTGGTTAAAATTTTATATAACAGCCACTTGTGATACTGCATTTTGCTTGAGGCTTGCAGCAGCATAACAATACTAAATCCACTCAAGATGACTCCACATTTGGAAAAACAATCCTGGATCTTTTACATTACTGAAGTTAGAAGGAAGAGAACTGAATGAGAGCTCATTATCACATCTGCAAGGGACAGGTTCCTCAACGGTACTACTACCTTTTTTTTCCATATATGCAGAGTTATTTATTTTCAATTATAAAGCTTTTCGAATTGCAGGAACTCTATTCAGTACCTTACTAACATCTTTTTCCAACCAATGGAATTAGGGCATCTAAATTTCCAAATACTAAGATACTGAAGGTTCTTCAGAAACTAAATTCTTCACAGATAAGGGAGAGAGCATCTCTTGCCTTTGTTCTACAGAAGATATGACTCCACTGATAGCAGCTGCATTATAAAACTACTGCCTTAGCTTACATAAATGATCTTACACACCAACAACTCTAATGTGTTTTTATTTTCTGACTTGCCTCTGTGCCACACACACATCTGGAAAAAGTTTGATCTGATAAGTGATAACAGATTCTGAATGAAACCAACAGATTTTTACAAGTCCTTAGGCTAGCAAGAAAGGGGAGGGTAAAGAACAAAAAAGAAATTTACTTTCACAGTACCTGCATGAAGCCATATTTGAGCCAGAGTCATCCAAGGATGGAGGGGACCTTGTTTAGGGGCACTGCTTTGGAGAGATGAAGCAACCTCAGATAGTGCTTGCTCCACTCTGGAAGCTGCTATTGATGTGGCATGAACTGAACCTGTAGAAGTAATAAAAAAATTTACCATCATAGAAAGAATGAAGGCCATACACATCGCATAAAACATTTAATTCTAACCCTTTTCATAAGAGGTTTTACCCCAAACTCCTCAAGATTTAATTTACATGTACTGTTTCGGAGAAGTTTTTTTGAAATGTCAGGTTAATCTTCCTTGTTATGAAAGCTTTTATACTGGTCTGAAAGACTATATAAAAAACACACTGAACAGTGGTAACTATACCTGACACATTTTTGGGTTGCTACTATGAATACTCTCTATTAAACTCGACACTTCTTTTCTGGCAATGTATGATCCAAAAAAAGGTTTGTGATGGTATCGTACACTGTAATCTTCAGGTTGCTGCATGCACTTTGATGTTAGTAATTGCTATGTCTTTCTATAGAGTACAATTAGAGGACTATTTTAAGACTAATAACAGTACAAAAAAGAGAACTAAAATATACAAGATGGTCACAACACACCCCATCACAAATACACAACTAAACTGCACTGAATGTAAACCTTAGCTAATCGAGAAGGTTCAGTTAAAATGCCTTGTGACAAAAAAAGTCCCTTGCATAAAGAACATTCCCAAAGCATGCAATGTAAAGGATAATTCTCTTAAAATGAAGAATTTACAAGTGAGATTAGAATCTCATTGGCAAATACTACCCCTTTGTAAGTACTGGAAATAAAAAAGCTTCTATGACTAGAGAATATCTAATGGCAACTGTACTTTGGATAGCCAACTACTGACAGTGTATTTAGTCATGATTTCTTTTTTAAAATCAAGACCATGAATATTTTAAGCTACACTCCTCGTCATCTAAGCCTCAATGTATCTCTAGCTGTTTCATAATTACAAATAACAAAATCTCCAACTGACTAGGCCTGATTAATAAATAATGGAAATGAAATATTCCATACTGGATCAAGATAAGAAGCCTTCTAAGCCCATCAGCATATCTGCAATGGTCAACAGTGCAGGTTTCCCAAAAGAAAGTATCAAATCTTGTATAGGTTGAACTGCACCCCACAAGCTCATCCTCATCACTAGCAGTTAAGAAATAAATGAAACCTTCGCTCTCAATATCACCAATTTTCTAAGAATTTTAACAAGAAGAGATTTGCCACATAAAACATACATTCTTAAGTGTGACAAGATAAAGCAGCAAACCAGAAAACCAGAAGAAATTCCTAGTACACAGGTCAGTGGTAAGAGGAAGTTTGTCTGAAAGTGTGCACCATGTTTCCCCTAACTGACAGTAACAAGGGCAAAGCATTACAGGACATAATGAGCATTTCATATGTCATCATAAACAAGGAATTGCCCTGAAGATCTGAGACAGTATCTGGACATGGAGTTTGCTTTCCTCTACTGGCTGATGAAAAAAACTCAAACTCTAGCCTGCAGAGTTGAACATTCACTAAAGTTTTTGTGGGTCTTATACTTAAGCCTTAACTTCTGAAGAAATACAAAAGGGAAGTCCAAGCAAGAAGCACGTGGAATGTATACTAAGAAAAATACTAGCAAAGGTACCATAAGTAAACACTAGTCACCAGTAATCCTCCTCTTGTCTGACATCCCTTTTTGTAAATGCATGCCACTGCAGCCTCTCACTTGTTAGCCTTCCAGGGCCCAACAGTGAAAGAGTCTCCTCATTTCTCTAGAAGAATTTGCAAAGAAAATGTGCAATTCACTGACACAAAGGATATCATCTAATCGCTTCCTTCTGAAAAGCAAGTATTCCATTTAGTATTAAAAAGGGCCTATATTTTCTACTATTTAAAGCAAGGACTCTGGCTGCTAGCCAGGCCACAAGTAATTTCATACAGAAAATGTGCTGTTAGATTTTAAGCATCTAGTACTTAGCCATAAAGCACATAAGTAATATATGATTAAAACTTTATATACATCAATTTCTATATAAAAAGGATCTGTACTGTGATAAAATTCTTATGAGTTGCAGTGCCACCTATATTAAAGTTAAAATGGAGTGGATACAGAATGGTTCCTTATGGTAATTAACTCCTACCCTGGACTTTATTCTGAGTGGCAGAAAAAAGAAAAAACTTTAAAAAGAAATCTTTCTAAAAATTTTTTTTCAAAGTGTTATTCAAGTTGCTTACATTTCCTGTTTAGGAAAAAGGTATCCCTTAACATATTGCAGCAATTAGTCCTCTAAAGAAAACACACACTTACACAAAGTAATAGTCTTACTTTAGCCAAACCACCTGAAAATAGTTACCTCCTATCTTTCACTAAGTCACTGAAGCTGATATAAAAACATATTCTAAATTAATAATGAATATTAACAATCTAAAATTCAACACGGACCAAATAACTGGTTTAGAAACTCAGACTGCAGATTATTCAATGTAGTCAACTAAATTTAAGCTGCCTCTAAGCAACATCCCAAATAAATGGATTCCTGGGGTTTAAGTTTGAAGATCAATGTTAGGCAGCATACAAAGAAACTCGGTGTAATCTTCTGCAGGGCTGTTTGGAAATCCCAACCTTTGAAATCCTTCAGTCTTAATTAAAATGTAGAGAACTTAAGAATGTTGCAAAAAAGCACAAAGGCATCGATAAGTGAGCGCTTTTTTGTTTAGTTTTGTTTCTTTAAAAACCCTCCTTGCAGTGGCTATTAAGAGACATATCAAGCACAAGGCTATACAGTTTCCAAAAGGAGGGGGGACGACCTCTAGTACAGCCTTGCATGTCTAATCAGCACAGCCACGGTATCCCTTATTGGACTTTCACATCTTTGCTATTACCTTTTTTCTTTCTTTCTCTTTTTTTTTTAAATAACAGTAGTCTTTTGATACTGCCCAATCAGGCATCTTTCACGTGCATCACACTCATGCTATCTGATAGCTTTAACCCCTAACCCCTAAATATCAGGCATCTTTCACGTGCATCACACTCATGCTGATAGCTTTAACCCCTAACCCCTAAACGCTTCTTTAGTATAGCCACAGTTAGCTGTTATCATGACTCATTTCTGGCTCCTTTTGTTAAAACACAAATTAGTAAGCTTTCAATTTGCAGACAATAAAAATCATTTAAAGATCATGTAAAGATGCTGCGTACTAAAAAGCTTTTTTCTGACCTTCCTCCGAATTTTATTCAACCCTTTTCTTATTAGAACTAACTTATCTAAACTATTTGTTCCTTGTTCTAACCCAGGGGTCCCCAGATTCAGATCTTTATAGTCACATTACAATTGTAAAATGTATAGTAATTTCAACTACAACTGGTAAAGATATATAGTAGTTTGTTGGAAACTGAGGGTAAAGAGTGGATCTTAAAGTCTGCTTGAGGCCTCACAGATCCTATGTAGCCAGTTACTTACTAGGTGGCTCCCTGTTGGTTTTGTCATAAGCTCTCCTCTCTCTTCCCAGCCTTATCTGTATTTTTCTTTTTTTTGCTCTGTGTTCAGTACCCTCAGCCAAACACAAACATATCCTCATTTTCAGTGTTACAACTCACTCAGTTGTAGCTTCCTTCAAATGCTCAGGTAGAGTAGTAGCAATTTCTGGTTTAAAATGTTACTGTATTTTTCACGCACAGAAATATCCCTTGCTCTCCCCAGACAACTTCTAGACCTGCTGTTATAGTATGACACTTAAGAATCAAGAAAAAAATTCCTCAAAATACCACAAACAGCAAAGAGTGTTTATTTTAAAATATAAATGCATGAGGTCTGGAAAAGTAATGTATCACCAAAATGGATCCTGGTTACTCACTCTCATTTGTTTAGTCTTGTTCTGAAGCTTATTTATTCTAAAAAGGCCAAGTGCAAAACAGAGACTATCTCTGCAAGATCTGGAATTCACTACTTAAATTACTTATTGATTAACATCTGGAATCACAATCACATTGCACTCTGCAAAGTGTGACAAAAGGTCTTAATGGCAACAAAACGTTCCTAAACCAAAAAGGTATAACCTCCCACTCAAGTTTCCTGTAATGACATTTGTCCAGAACTTACAGTGTTTCTACTCACCATACTAACATATTATCTGTAACAACCATGGTTATGTCCATGTTTCAATTCAATCTCAAATAGAAGACCTACCAACAGCCTTGTACACACACAATTTAACCAAGAATTTAAGTAATCTCACAGAAACCTTTCTTTTCCAAGTCACATCTACAGTTCAACTTCTGCAAACAACAAAGTGTTCAACTTAGTTTCTTCAGGCTTTTCTTCAGATGAATATTATAGGAGAGTCTACAGGAAACCCATCATTTAAAGTCACCCTATATAAATAAGTGCATTATGACTTCTGCAGTGCTTTCCTTGGTCATTTTTCAATAAATTCTTCACAATGTAGCCTAATGGACATGAACTAAGACATGGACTCTGTCAGTGCTTAGTTGGCATGCAGGCTTGGAGAAAAACAAAATCACTTTGCTATGTACATCAAATTTTCCTTCTGAAAATGAGTAAAAGAATAGATTGTCATCCTTCATGAAACATGTTCACATCAACTGACAAAAACACTATAACAGGATTTCTTTTAATACCATAAAAGAGAGCATTACTAAACAGTTTTACATTCATCATGTTTTCAATGTTTCAACATTTACATAAAGAAAAAAATGCTTTAACAGCAATGCTCATGCAGGAGAGAAGAGGAAAAACCCCATGACTTTCCACTTTACATGCACACAAAGCTGGCTGTAAGAACATTAGCGGTGTGACATGCAGAGAACTCTGTGATAAAAAAAGCAATCACATGATACAAAGAGGCAGTACCTTCTGCAAGACTAATACATCACTGAAATGATGCATTTGAGAAGATAGATTGGCAGGTTTAGCCAAAATTAACAATTTTTCCTATAAAATTCATTAATTCATTCTGAGACAACTTTTACAATCACAAACTACAAAGCTAGCTATCTTTTGGTACAAAGTTATGCATGGAGATAGTAGTAGTCAGGTATGGCCAGCATCATTCACAGAACATCCTCTCAGCTCTTTCAAAAA